AATGGGATTGAACATTTAGATAAATTAGTAAGAGAAAAAGGGTGTTTATTCACAATACAATTATAATGTTAAATTTTATTATGTTTTCTGTGTAATAGTAACAGATTGTTAGAGGTTACATATTCAACCGTTTTGATAAATTTTTGACTCGGTTGAACCGTTTTAACACGGGTGACACGGTTTACTATAACCCGGTTCTAAACTCTAAAAAGAACCACTTAAATTGCGGAAGCACCAGTAATAATGTCGACTATGAAGAAGATAACATTAGTATATTCGTAATTCAGAAAAAAATTTAAATCGCATCTTTCTATGTGCCTACACAATATACTTACTCAATTCACTGGTAATAACGGCCTGTCTACCACGATTATAAGTTAATGTAAGTTTATCAATCATTTCGCCAGCATTTTTTGTAGCATTTTCCATTGCACTACGTTTTGATGCCATTTCTGACGCATGACCTTCAGCAAGACCCCAATAAATTGAATTTGCTAACGCAAACTCTTGAAGATTTTCTAATACATCATCCTCAATTTCGTACGCATCAAATTTTCCTAGGAAACATTATGAGGTCATTTAGTTAGTGGTAACGATCATTCTGTTTATGCTACTACACAAAGAAGAAATACCTGACTTAGAAAACGTGGATACTGCATATACAGGGATCGTCTCAGCTTCATAAGAAATCACTGATCTAAAATAATTATAAACAATTATAGCCTGATCAAATTCAATTTTCTCTTTCAATATGGTGTCAGCAATAGCACACGCTTCAGCGTAAGTTGGAGTAGCCTTTCCAAGTTGGTTAAACGAAAGCCGTATATTATTACGATTTGTGCGTGAAAGTTGAGATTTTGCTTTATCTCCCAATACCACAACTTGTGCATTTGGTTTGTCCTCGACATGTTTACGAGAAGCTTTTGATACACTTGAATGAATACCGCCACATAATCCACGATCTGATGATACAGTAATAATTAAGGTGGTACCCTCCTCGGTTGGTTTAGTGTCAGCATTTGTAAAAAGGGCTAAAAGGTGTATTAATGACGGGAGGTACCACAAGTATGAAATTAATTTGTACGTATGGCATACCAGTTTGAGTAGCACCAAATGTTCTAGCAACTTCCATTGCTTTTTGAGCACTTGAGTTATTTTTTCAAATAAACATACAATAAAACTTCTTTTACCATCAAATTCGAATTCATTTTTGAAAAAAAAAGTAATCATTTACCGAGCCATCTTTGTCGATGCAATCATCTTCATAGATTTCGTGATCTATAAAATGCAGTAACTTTCAGAATTTTATCTAGAATTTCATTAATTTCCAATGATAAAGAATAACCTTTGCAATACTGCGGACAGACTTTAAACGTAATTGAACTGTTAAAGAATATATTAGCGTGTGCTTTGAAAACTTAATTATATGCAAGAAAAAAAACCAAACTTACTTTCTTTTAAGGTGGCATAATTACGACTTTGGCACCCAACACTAAAATAAAGTTCATAATATATTAAAATTGGATTTCAACTATAGTAAACACTCTATATTAAAATTCGCAAGATAAAATTTTGCTATTCTGGGTTCAATAAACATTACCTTCGGGTGGTAGCATTAATCACGACAGGTCGAATAGCAAACATTACTGCTAATTTGACCGAGTTGTCTCAATAAATTTTAAGATTATCTATATTCACGTGACAATGTAAGAATTGATGACGAAATTTTTTTTTTTTTTTTTTTTTTTAATAAAAATCACAACGCAAGTCATAGGGATCTTCCTTCTCTTCACAAAATGGGTAGAGTAAGTATTCTACCCATTTTTTTTCAACCATACGAGGAACGAAATGACTGAAGATGTTTTATGAGAAATTTAATATATCAGCTCTAATATTTTGATAATGTTAAATATGATTATAGTTGCACGAATATCAAGTCATTGGTCGCAAACTACCAAGCGAAAAAGATCCAGTACCAAGTCTTTATCGTATGAAACTTTTTGCACCTAATGAAGTTGTAGCAAAAAGTAGATTTTGGTATTTTTTAACAAAAGTTAAAAAAGTCAAAAAAGCCGCCGGTGAAATCGTTTCTATTAATGAGGTATGTTAATTAAGCATTGCTTTGGAAAAGTTAGTTCTTGATGAGAATCGATTATCGATTCGATTTGCGGCAAATTTTTTACGAATTATGATTACTAAAGAAACATGTTATTTTTAAAAAAGATATTTGAGAAAAGGCCATTACACATCAAGAATTACGGCATATTTCTTCGATATGATTCTCGTTCCGGTACACATAACATGTATAAAGAATATAGAGAATTGACTAGGTATAGTTTTGTGTCTAGTGATTTAATTTATTTATATTTTAATTAATTTAATTTCATTTTTTCCTGTAAAATAAATAGAACTGACGCGGTTACCGCTTGTTGTGAGTATATGTAGCTCATCTAAGTCACGATTTGTGCAAATTTATTTACAGTTGTGATCTAAATAGACCAAGACATGGCCGCTCGTCACCGTGCTAGATTTTCATCCATTCAAATTATACGAGTTGCAGAGTTAAAAACATCTCAAGTAATAATTTTATAAAAGCTTTTTTTTTTTTTTTTTTTTTTTTTTTTTTCTTTTTTTTTTGATTTTTTTTATATGTGCACATTTTTTTTTG